TGGCTATGGATTCTTTATAATAGCTATTCACAGAGTTGTCCTGGTTTAATTTGGTTCTCCATTATCTCTTATTTTTTAGCATCAGAGGTAAACTTTCAAGTTTTTATAATGTGCAATCTATCATTCTTGCTGATTTATTCTGAGTTTTCCTGGCAAATTCAGAATAAATATTTAATATTCTAGTCTTAACTAAACATATTGCCAGTTTGTCCAGGGTTTCATTATTTTCAAATGTTTTGTCTGTCTTGCCTGTATGAGCTACATAATATTTGATGTCTTTGCTAAGTTTGTCTATTTCCATTCCCATCTCCCATGACCAGATATCTTTTCCATTTATCTGCCAGTTAGTAATTTTCCATTTTACTGATAGCTATACAATTGCACAAGCACCATGAACTAGAGAAGATACAGATTTTTATTTTGCCAAAAGGCAAATGTTGGTGGACTCCTTTTTTGTTTTATGAAGAGTCCCCAGTTGCCAATTCACCAATAAATATGATATACCAATAATTAGGGTATCATGTGGTTCAATATTGGTCAAGGCTGCAAGCATGGCTCACCAACAGCCACGAAAGCTGTTCCTGTCCCCGTTGGAAATCAGGTGCCTTTCTAGTAACCCTGGGGAGGGTTTTTAAAATAATCTGTAACATGGTGTGTGGTTTCTATAGTGTACAAACATACCAATTATGAGCCACATCTGAGTTTTGTCCCTGCATGGGGGAATAAAGGCTTGTGTTACCACCATCAGTGACCACCCTGCTCAAATATTTGATCTGAGCTCCAAATCACTCCAGCTCTGAGATATTTAAAATAGTTTGAATTTAAAATTTTTACATCTCTTAACTGTGTTTTTATTACCAAACAACAAAATATGTCTTATAATATTTAAGAAGAAAACTCAAAAGCTGATGTCCAAGATGGTGTGGGCCACGTGGCAATCTACAGTCTAATATTCTAACATGGAATTAAGACACATGTTTTTTTTTTTAAAAAAAAACATTTTTCTTTCATGCCACTAAGGCAAGTGTGTCTTTGGTAAATTATCATTCAAAAATTTTATCATTTTTATTTTTATTTTTCATGCCTGATCAAATGAAAGACATTTGTTAGTCTTACAAGTTAGTTTGGACTGAATGACCAAGCTGTTTGATGAACCATCACCTCTCTTAATCAAGGGTGTCTTCTATTTGAACCTAGTGTTTATCAGTCTTGATGGTATCCATAGCTTTTCTTCTTCTCCTGTGGAAAGGCAAAACCTTTTCCCCAACATATATACATATACATATATACACCACACACACACACATATAAACCACTGTGTAATCTATCTCTGAGGGTTTTTCTTTTTTTTCTCTGACTTTATTTTTTTATTTTTTTTATTAATTTATAAAAGTTTCCACTTATGCCCCTCCTCTCAATACCCTCCCACTCCCCCCACTCCCTCTCCTCCTCCCTCTCCAGCCCTAAGAGCAGTCAGGGTTTCCTGCCCTGTGGGAAGTTCAAGTTCCTCCCCCCTCCCTCCAGGTCTAGGAAGGTGAGCATCCAAACAGACTAGGATCCCAAAAAGCCAGTACATGCAGAGGAAACAAGTCCCAGTGCCATTATCAATGGCTTCTCAGTCAGCCCCCATGTCAGCCACATTCAGAGAATCTGGTTGGATCACGTGCTCGTTCAGTCCCAGTCCAGCTGGCCTTGGTGAACTCTCATTAGATCCGTCCCCTTGTATCAGTGGGTGATCGCACTTCTGAGGGTTTTTCTTATCCTTGATTATTAAGCATATCTTTTAAAGTGTGATTAGATCTTTCTATAACTGCTTATCCTGTCGGATTATATATGGTATACCTGTAATATGCTTTATGTTGTAATATGCAAAACACGATTTCATTTTACTAGAGACATATGCTGGAGCATTGTCAGTCTTAATTAGTACAGGTATCCCCATAATAACCATAACTTCTAGTAAATGTATAATTACAGAATTAGCCTTTTCAGGATTTAAAGCAGTTGCCCATTAAAATACTGAATATGTATCTACAATACAGCATACTGTAGTGGCATTTCATTTATATTTTAATAAGTCAATAAATAAAGCTTGCCTGAAGGTCAGAGAGTAAAACAGCCCCACTGGTCAGCCTTACAGCCAGGCAGTGGTAACACACACCTTTAATCCCAGTGGTGACACCTTTGGTCATCTCAGTCCTAGACAGGAGGAGACAGCTCTCAGTCTCAGTCTCATTCTGAGATTCCAGGAGGCAGGATTGCCATTTCGAACTGAGTTGAGGTAAGAGCCAGTGGCCGGCTGCTTTGCTTTTCAGATCTTCAGGAAGGCTTTATTTATTAAAATACAAATGAGATGCCACTACAGTGTACATACGTTAATTTTCCGAACTAAGGAAAATGAAACACATCTATTTGTTAAATATCATTTCTTTGGGTACCTTTTGGGTTACTTCCTGCAGATAATAGAGTTGGTTATACAAAGAACAAGTGGGACATTTTGTTATAATTTCCTTGGCTTGTTGCCAAGTGATAGAAAAATGTTCCTTCAAACCTTTGTTGTTAATATGGTGTTTCTTATGAAATTCTGAGGCTTTTAGCACATTTCCCATTAATAACTGATCGATTTCATCAGTACTAGAGGACCTGGTAGACCTGTATAGGACCTGATATGTGTTATATACAAGCGATGATTTCTATTTCTCATTACTTTAGTTGAATAAATAGTGAAATTAATTCTGAATCATTCAGAATAAGTCGATCAATTTCATATGTACAACTTTTTCTGCATATTGAGAGTTCATAACTATATTAAGAGACACAGGAAAATCTAATAATACCATAAAAATTGCATACAGCTCTGACTTTTTAACTGACCATAAGGGCTTTGAGCCACTTTACCTATTTTTCCTGACTCATAATCTACTTTCCCTGATTTATTTGCATAAGTATAGAATGTGAGGGCTCCAGAAATTGGTGTCCTTTTTACTATACAAGGGAGAAACCAATTAGTTCTTTGATATAAACTGAAGTCTCTTGCTTTTGGGGATATTTGTTGCTAATCTCTCTCCCAAAAATTACTGCAAGCTCTTAGTCAGCGTTCATTTGCCCATGGTGAGGTAATTTAATCATTAGTAAAATGTACCACAATTTCTGTTGGGTCTATTCCTATTAATTGACAAAGAATTGAAAATTTTTCTTTTCAGAATCAATTCAGAAAACTTTTCTACATAGGTCTTTTAATTTTTTATTCCATGGCCTATGGGGCAGGGGAGTGGCAGGTGGTGGGCAGAATGAAGATGGTGCCACAGACTCCTAGCAAGTGGCAGTGCTGGGAGGTGTGGCCTTGTTGGAGGAAGCGTGCCACAAGGGTGGACTTTGAGATTTCAGATGCCCAAGCCAGGCCCCGTGTGTCTCTCTTTTCCTACAGCCAGCTAATCTGGATGCACTACTCTTAGCTACTTCTCCAGCATCATGGCCGCCTGCATGCATCCATGGCCCCCACCATGAAAATAATGGACTAACGCTCTGAACTTGTAATCTGCCCTCAATTAAATGTCTTCCTCATAAGAGCTACCATGGTCATGGCATTTCTTCACAGCAATAAAACCAGTACAGTATGTTCACACGTGAGCACTTCCATGCCCAAGCATGCAGAGGTGAGAGGCCGCACACTGGGGATCTTCCTCTCTCACCCTCTGCCTTATTCATTGAGCCATGGTCTCTCACTGAATCTGGAGCCCTCTGTTTGGGTTGGACTGGCTGGCCACAGAGCCCCATGGGTCTGCTTGTCCACCCCGACTGCCCCTCGTGCTGGGATTACAGATGCTGCTGTCTTACGTGTGTACTGGGTTCCGGACACAGGTGCTCACGCTGGACGGCGAGTACTCTGCTCATCCCTTCCTCGCCCACCCAACACTGGGCTTTGTTTTGCGCTTCTCTGATTAATAAAATTAACCATGTTTTGCATATTTTATCGGTCATCTTTACATTTTCTTTGAAGAAATGTCTATTTAAGGCCTTTGAATATTTTTTAATCAAGGTATTTGGTTTCTTTTGCTGGATTTAAGGAATTCTCTGTGTATTGTGGATATTATCTGTTACCAGATATATAATTTGAAAATACATTCCCCGACTCCATGGGTTGCCACTTTGATAAGGTGATAAGTTTTTTGAAGCACAAAATTGTTTGGTTTTCATGAGGTCTGATATGTGTCTTTTTTCTTCTGTGCCTTTGGTTGCAAAGCCTAGAAATCACTGTCGGGAGGCTTTCCTGTATTCTCTCTCAGAGTTTTATGCATTTTAGGTCTTTTATTCATTTTAAGTTAATTTTTGTGTATGGTCCTTAGGTTTAAGTATGACCAAATGAAGTCAAGTTCAAACTCTTTCTGGCCCATGTTATGGTGTGTATCATTTTCCCAATGCATGGCTGAGATTGGTCTTTGCACTCCTTAAAACATAAACATTTGAACACACAGTGGGATTGTCTATGCTCTTCCTCTGGTCTATAGGTGGGGAAGCATTCGGTGTAGCAGCTGTGGGCGTGGCTGTGGCTGTGGTCGTGGCCACTGAAATCTACCCTACATTGTACATTTGTTGACACTTAGGATGTAGTGGAAGCAATGTCAGAGTTTATTAAAGGAAAAGTTTGGCTCAATAGAGTTGAGAGTGGGGGAGATGCACTGAGGAAAAAAATGGTAGGCTGTACGAAGGGCAGATGCAGGCTGCACCAAGGGCGGATGCAGGCTGCACCAAGGTTGGGTGTGACTTCTCAAGGGAGTTCCTGCTCCGACTGGGAGAGTTAGTTTATGGGCAAATGCTAAATGGAAGGACTATTCAGGGGCTAGCAGGAAACTCCAAGAATAACTCTGACTCCTGGACCAGAGTTTACCTCCTTTTCTGTCCTCTTACAGGGTTTCCTGGATGTGTCACAGTGACAAATCAGTGCTGGCAGTGGCTGGTTTTCCAGGGCTGATAATTCTGTGATAACCATTGTGATGAAGCCGAGAGCACTGAGAGGTCACCCTGGTGGGTGTGCTGGCCCCAGTTTGGCAGGAGCGCACACATGGCATCCTAAACATCTCTTCAGTGTTGTGAGTTTCAAGCCACCTTACCATCTGCCCTTTTTCTTTCCTATGCCTGACTAGCCTCCCTCATTTCCCCCTCAAAGGACTCCATCCCTCCTCATCGATGTTGAAGGGAACAGAGTCCATTTCCCACATCTACCTCTGTCTGATGCCACCAGTGAGGGAAGAGCACCCTGGCCACCTGATCTATGGGAAGCAGAGATGTTGGGGGCAACTCTGAAGTTGGGATGGAGACGGTTGGAAGCTCATCCATGCCATCATTTCACCTTGAGCTGTGGACACTCGCTAGAGAATGCTCACCTTACAGGATTTAATGCAGAAGCCAGGTACAAGAAGCAGAGTAACCGTCATCAAAGAGCCTACGAGTGGCCGGCTTCTGTCTGGTTTAGCGAAGGCAGCTTGTATTGCCATGGTATTTGGGTGTGGGCTTTATTACATTAAAGGGGATCTGGAGAGTGGGGATATAGCTTGCGAGTATGAGGACCTGAGTTTCATTCTAGAACCCACATAAAAAAATTCTGGGTATAGGAGTGGGTCCTCGTAACCCCAGTACAGGGGAGGCAGAGTCAGGCAGATCCCCAGGGCTTGTTGGACAGCCCAGAGGAACAGTAAGCTCCAGACCATGCCTTAAAAGTTCCAACACTTTTTCAAGAAAACCATAAGCATTAATGAGCATAGTACTTGGGGTGGGCTTCAACAGCGATAGAGAAAACACATGATGATTGGTATATTCATGGGCCCCGGGGTGATGTTTCACTGCATGTGTGTGCAATGTGGAACAGTGAATAAGAGCACTCTGTATCCCCACCACATTAGACATTCACTGTCACATCCCATGGGCTCGTCCCATGGGGAGAGCGAGGACAAGCTCTCCCTGTGTCTGGTGACTTCGGGAAAACGTGTGTGCTGAAGGGGTCTGGGGAGCACTCGGTAAAGGACTTTGTGCACTGATGTAGTCACACTGACGGTGATGGGAACGCAGTCCTGTGGGTGGGGACGAAGTCCTCAACACAGTCTGGCACCTGGAACCTTCTCAGATGCTGGCTCCTTCCTTCGCTTCCTTCATTAACATAGGTTGATGTCCTTTGACTAAAGTGTGTCTTTCTGAGGGCTGCATTTCGAATCTCACTAATCAGCCAGCTCGGCAACCGTTGTCCCGGAGCTGTCTGTTACCCACTCTGCTTCCAAGGTGTCTGAGGAGAAGTGCTGGGACTCACCTCAGCTTTGCTTCTCTGGGATAAATGTCTGATGTGGGATTCCCCTCTGTATGCCACAGCCGGAACCAATGTGCAGCCTCTGTCTACAAACGTCTGCTGGGCTTACCATTGTTACATCATAGTATATGTCCCTGGGCCCTTGTTACCCGTGGCCTTTCCTGGGCCCCTGTTACCCGTGGCCTTCTTTGGACCCCTGTTATCCCAGCCTTCCCTGGGCCCCTGTTACCTGTGGCCTTCTCTGGTCCTCTGTTACCAGTGGCCTTCCCTGGTCCCATTACCCATGGCCTTCTCTGGGCCCCTCTTACTCCAGCCTTTCCTGAGCCTCTGTAACCTGTGGACTTTCCTGAATTTCCTCTAGGGTGTAACTTGTGTTAGTTGATTTTCTTGGTGCTGTGGCAACACTAACTTTAGGGAGGAAAGGTTCACATCGGCTTAGAAGGTGACACAGCCTACCACGGAGGGGAAGGCATGGCCACAGGAGTGAGTATCTGGGACTTCTGACTTGATCACATCTTGGAGGAACCAGAAACAGAGTGGACAGGGAGGAGGGCCAGCCAACCGACCTCTGAAGATCCACCTCTAGTGGCACAAGACCTCTGGTGAGGCTCTATGTCCTAAAGTTTCTGAGATATTCCAAAACAGCATTCAAATGTGTGAGCTGTGGGGAACACTTCTCATTCACATACAAGAGCCGTAGTATTGCTGAGTGCAGTGGCCTTGCTAGGCTGCTGCTCTGCTGACCTAAAGGATCGCCCTTGTCCATGTGGCCACGATGATGTGCCAGTGTCTGCAGCTCCTCTGTGTAAAGAAGAGACGGGCAAAGGATTAGCACCATCCGTATCTTTTTAAAGGCACAGCCCAGCAATGTCACACTTTCTTCTGCTGATAGTCTATCCTGTGCTGGGGATGTAGCTCCATGGGAGAAGGCATGACTGTCAAGGCTCCACAAGGAAAACAAACCAATGGCCATCCCTTAACTGCAAACGGGTTGGGAGTCTGATTAGCATTTGCTATCTTGTCATAGAGAGGAGCTAATTGTAACTAACGGTCCCTGCCTATCCTAGTCAGGGTGTGCTGCTGGACCAAGAGACGGCTAACTTCTCGAGAAACTTCTTTAGCACATAGGTTCAGAGACTTGCCTGGCCCTGCATAGGCTCTGGCTCCTGCCTGGTGGTGCATATGCAGAACAAGGCTTACACCATGAGACAGAAAGCATGGAAGCAGAGGTGGCACAGTACATCCTTCACAGATAAACCCCCAGTGCCGTAAGGGCCTATTACTGGTCCTGCCTCTTAGAAGTCCACTCCTTCCTTCAGTACTTCCACCCAGGTACCAAACCACCAGTCACGAGTCACTCCTTCCAGAAACGCACTTCTGACCATTGGGAGGGACACAAGCAGCCTGTAAGCAGCCTATCTTGTTTCCTCAGCCAAGCTACAGAATCCAGCCAAATGCTGCCATCTTTCATAGAAAGTTCTAGACGAATGATAAAGACCAAGAACATACAGACAGGCTGGAAATGTGGACAGAGTCCCAGCTCCTGTGTGTCTTGCTTGTCATCGGGAGCCGCTCACCATGCTGACCATGGCTGGCAATGGCCCTGAGATCAGAGCCCTCTGGGACAGCGCTGGGGACTGAGCCCCCACTTCATTTGCTAGGATGGCTGTCGGGGAGCCACTGGAGATGAACCTTATGAACATCATCTAACACAGCAGCTACCAAGAGGTCTGAGCACCTCAGAGGACAAATAAGACAAACTGTGGACAAGGCATACGTCTAAATCAAAACTATTTTTGAAAGCCTCATTCTTTGAGAAGATTCCTCCTGGATGTGTTTTATAAATAGGGCACTAGAATACATTTGTCATCTCTAAGCTTAGAAAACAGCTTTCTACTGAGAGTTTATGCTCAGGATTTTTGCTAACTAGGACACATGACAAAGAGAGTCTGAGGGCTCGATGTGATGACACACCTTTAATCCCAGTACCCAGGAGACAGAGGATCTCCATGAGTTTGAGGCCAGCCTTGGCTAAATCACAAGTTCAGGACAGCTTGGGCTACATAATGAGACTCTGTCACAGAGCGGGAGGAGGGAGGAGGGCAGTGGCGGGAGAGGGAGGGAGGAGCTAATCTCACAGTAAGGACTTTGGAGAGTCCCTGTCCACACCTACCCACATTGGCCCAGAACAGGCGCTTATCTCCAGAAGTTTAAGTAGTAGTGACTGCGCGTATCAGGTATGGAGGGTGTGTGTGAATGGCTGTGACCTATGGAGGCCAGAAGACAACTTCAGGTGTATGTATGTATGTATGTATGTATGTATGTATGTATGGCCTGCCCAGAGCTTCCCAAGTAGAAGAACTGGCCAGTGGCCTTGTGAGAACCCACCTGTTTCTAGCTAGTTCCATGGATGGTAGGGACAGATGAGGTCCTTGTGATTGCAAGGCTTTACCGAATGACATGATGGCATTTGTTCAGTGAATTAAGAGGCATAGCACCAGAAATGTAAAAATGTGTCTGGTCCAATTGTCCTGCACAGCACAGCTTCCTGCAGCCCGACGCAGGACTGACAGCCAACAGTGTTCTGGGGGCTCCTGGCTTCACCTAAGTGTTTCATTCTCTATCCAGTTTGGTTCACTGTCCCCAAAATTCACTTGACCTCTTGGGAAAAAACAAAGCATCAGAACCCAAGAATATCACCCATGGACAAATAAAATGCACGCAGAGAGAGAACTGCTTTTCTTTCTTTCCCTTTCTTTCTCTTTCTCTCTCTCTCTCTCTCTCTCTCTCTCTCTCTCTCTCTCTTTCTTTCTTATTTTAGTTTTTGTTTTTTGTTTTTGTTTCTTCGAGACAGGGCTTCTCTGTAGCTTTGGAGCCTGTCCTGGAACTACGTCTTGTAGACCAGGCTAGGCTTGTACTCACAGAGATCCGCCTGTCTCTGCCTCCCAAGTGCTGAGATTAAAGGCGTGTGCCACCACTGCCCGGTTGGAACTGCCTTTCATGTGGTTCCTGGGGCTGCTGGGGCCATGGCAACAATCCCAGCTGGCTCATAGGTGCAGTGCAGGTGACGATACTGACAGAAGTCAGTACAGGGTCATTAGGTCACCAAGAACCTGGGGAGGCCCACGTATGCCTACATGAGTGCTCCTAAGAGGATCACTGTGACCCACATCGTCTCTCACACTCCCTGCTGTCTTTGCTGCCCACCACAGTCTGATGCAACAGAGCAGTGAGCACAGGCACCATCTTAGCCACAGGAAAGCAGCAATTGAGGGGATGGCTCCTGAGGCTCCGTGGTACTGAACAAGGCAGAGCTGGGCAGCACAAACTGTTGGCCCAATGGTGACTCTCCGTTGCTGTCTTCCCTCTTTGTAAGAGTTATTTATTTTATTGTATGTGCATGAGTGTTATACCTACATGGATGTATGTATTGCACCATGTGCATGCCTGGTGCTCATGGAGGTCAGAAGAGGGCACCAGATACCCTGGAACTAGATGTGGATGGTTTTGAGCTTCATGTAGGCTCTGGGAATTGAACCCCAGGCTTCTGCAAGATCTCTTACTTACTGAGTCACCTGTCCAGCTCTGTCTTCCCTCTCACTGGATCTATTTCCATCCATCTGGTAACCCAGCCAATGTGTATTCGGCGCTGCTCTGGGAGCTGAGACTCCAGGTGGAGGGAAGTGGGAACGAGTTATTGTGACAGACGTGGCTAGTCCAGAGTCTGAGGGTGACTGTTGGTGACTCAAAGGCAGGGGTGTGGAAAAGGGGTACCTCACCAGTGTAAATGGGGTGACCTGGAAGGTCCTTGATGATAGCACAATAATGTAGAAGACCTCCAAGAGTTCAGGAACAAGTGTGGTGGTCACAGGCCAGCGTTCCCCAGCCTTATACTGAGGACATGTTAAATTGCATCATCCCCAATTGAAGGAATGGGTGTCGTATGTGTTGTGGATGGTTCACCTGCCCACTGTAGACTGGTGAACATTATCTCTGATTTCAGTAGCATCCCCACCCCAGCCACACACACACACACACACACACACACACACACACACACACACAAACACACAGTGAGGATAATCCGCACAGCCATCCTCGGGGAAATCGGCATGCTTCCTCATGATAACAGTGTTCTCAGGGCAGTGGCTGCAGCTTCTGCAGGGAGCCAGTGTTGGTCCTGGAATATTAGCCCGCAAGAGCACTAGTCCCCATCTCATACTGGACACGTCAGCTCCCCTTCCCCTCCCTGCTTCTCTCCTTCTTCCTCTTTGTTCTCCCCTTTCCTGCCTCCTCTCTTCCTGTTTCCTGGTAGTGGCACTATGTATGTAGCCCAGGCTAGCCTCAAACTCTTTATCCTCCGGCTTTACCTTCTCAAGTGTTGGGTTTAGAGGCATGCCCCACATGCCTGGAACTAGGCTGACTTCTGAGGAGTACATACCCAAAGGCAAGATTGCTGAGTCACAGGCTAGGTGCGCATTTGGCATTAGTTCTCCAAAGCATGCACATCTCCTCCCTAGAGGTGGAGGAAAGGAGGGGAGCAGGATCAGAGAGTAGCTGGAAGGCTGTGGGGTCCCAGGAGAGAGCTAGAGAGGAGTTGGGCTTGGGGTGCAGCTGGGTTTGAGTGGTGTGTGGCTTTCTTCCGAGGCCCCTGGAACAGATGCCAGAATGTGCTGCTTAAAGTAACAATGGTTCAGCCACCTAAAGGTGCAGAGTCAACGCAGGAGACCTGACCACTGAGGCTTCAGGGAGGAACCCTCCCTTGCTCTTCCAGCTTCCAGTGTTAAAGTTCTTGGTGTCCCTTGACAATAGCTGTGCGCCTCTTATCTTCGCCTGCCTTCCTGTGGACCCTCTTCTAAGAACGCCAGGCATTACATCCAGGACCCACTAAACTTCATCTCTACTCACATTGGAAAGTCTGGCGGACCTGTGGGTTTAGAGCAACACTGAAGGACCTGCTCTCAGAGTGTGAGAGGCAGAGCAAAGGGACGTGGCTGAGGCCCTGCTGTGATGGGAAAAGAGACAGGGAGACTCCACATGACTCGAGCGTTACTGACTGAGGAACCTTGTCATGGCAGGGGAGGCTACAGGCAGAGTAGGAGCATGGCTGTGAGCTATGTCTGAGCAGAACCAGCTTGAAAGAGTGGCTCAGACCTCCATGGGGAGCGTTTGTGCTTGTGTACAGTGTGCAGAGCCTTGGGTGACACCGTCCAGGGAGAATACACCCAGACCGGCCCAATGTCATCAAAGGGCTTCACAACACTCAGGGAAAGAGCAGGCCGCATTTCCAGGCCCAGCCTTTATGCTGCAGGGATAAATCAGAGTCGTGTTGTGTGCTCAGCAAACTGGGCAGTCGCCTGCCTGTCTCACCTAACTGCTGCTGAGCAAGACAGAGAGAGGCTTGTAGGATCCAGCACCAGGAAATGTTAGCTCTGTGTCCATCTTGGTTTTGTTTTCTAGAAGGGCTGAGCAGCCTCCACAGAGAGGTTCCTGAAGAGCACCCAGCAGTGCTGAAGAACCCAGGGGCAACCTTGACCTGCCGGAAGCTTCTCCTCTCAGGGTAGATTCCAGGCCTACCCCAGGATTTACAGTCATATGAATGGGACCTTAACACCAACGAGGTTGAAAAGGCCAATATGTCACCTCCATTCATGGAGCACCTGATGGTCAGATGTGAGCCGAAAATGTAATGGACAGGACAGAGTCTCAGAATCTGCCCTTGGCTCTGATGGCGTCGTCATGGGCAGCTGTGTAGAGAAACAAGGATGCCTGTGTCTTAACTGAGAAGAAGCAAAGGGGGAGCGATGTGAGGGGTTGGGGGGGGTGTCCTTGCGCCATCCTTAACCTCTAGAAGAGAAATGGCAGCCATGGAGCTGCATAAATAGGTAAACAAACTTCAAAGGCAAGTTCATGCTATGGGGTTCAGAGAGACTGCTGGGAGAGACTTCAGAACACTAAGGAGGATGTCTTCAATGACCTGTCCTCAAGGCTCAGGGGACCGGCAGCAGAGAGATTGTAAGAGCTGGGAGGTGACGGAGGACTTCAAGGACACGTGTCTTCCAGACTCCACAGGGTTGACAAGCACGAGCTCACAGACTGTGGCAGCATGCACGGGCTGCATGGGTTCAAGCCAGATAAGGTCCCAGTACTAAGAGGGGGATGTGGACACAGGCTCCCATCCCTAACCAAGAAGCTATCTACAACTGACGCCCACTGGTGAAGGAAAAGCCATTTATTCCAATGGAGTCTCACTGGGTCTGTCAGCCACACCCCAGGGCAGGTCCACACCCAGTGGATGAATAACCAATACAGAATAACTCACTGATGCTTCTGAAGACTTTTTGTCTCATTTTGCTTTGTTTGGCCATTTGTGTATGTGTTAATTGGTCTTTTGTTTATTTGATTTTCATTTTTGTGAGATTATTTGTGTGTGTGTCTCTTGTTTGTGTTTGTTTTAGGGGTGGAAGAATGTAAGGATAGGTGGGCAATGAGGTGGGAGGATCTCGGAGTGATTGGGGGAGGAAATGATCAAAATATATGAAAAATATTGTTTTTCAATAAAAAGTTTAAAATAGGAGACTGCTGTGGAGGGAATGGTGGTAGCTTGGAGGGCCAAAGAAGGTTTATCTTCAAAAATGACCTTGAAGTTAGATCTGACAGATGGATGAATGGGGCACAGAAAGCAGGATGGACCAGCACATGCTGAGGGCCTGGGTTAGAGAAAGACATGGCATGTGTGGGGCCTAGAACAGGAGGCTGAAGGTAAAGGGAATGAGGGTGAGAAAGACACAAGGTGAACTGGAAAAACAATCTCAGGGCAAAGCCTTGAAATAGCACAGAAGGGATCGGCAGACACGAGAACGGACACAGAGCTCACAGAGCACCTGGTGGATGTCTGCCCTGGACTCCTAAGGTCTACAAATCTGCTGCATGGAATACTCAGCTTCCTGCTCCTCTGCTGTGGCCCCAGCCCAGGAGAGGGTGTGGGGACTTCAGGAGCCGTTGCCCTAAGGGGCACAGGACTGGTTGCAACGAGTCTTCTATGGGTAGTGATGTTATTCAGGGTCCTCCAAAATGGCAGTACTTGTGACAATGCCCTAAACAGATGGGATGTTAACGGATACACAGACGTCTAACTCTAGTATTCCTCAGGAGTCTCCTAAAGCGGTTTCTGCTTACCAGGGCAATTACCTCAGGCAGCATCTAGTTCCTGCCTGTAAAACATCGAAGGGTCCCATCCTGCAAGTTAGCATAAAGTCCACTTAATTTTCCACCATTTGCTTCTCTCCACTCCCCTTCAACACACACACACACAAACACGCTGAGAGAACGTCTTGGCGGTTTGATCCCCAATAAACCTTTCTACCCACTGAGTGGTGTCGTGTGGTAGCTCTGCGGCACCTTCAGTTACAGGACTCACTGAGGAGCTGAAAGGGAAGAGTGTCCTGAAGACCAGGAGCTGGGAACTGAAGCCATAGGGCTGACAGAGGGGAGGCCAGCAGGACTCTGGACCAGCAGCCACCACACGCAGACTCTCTCCCAGGGCCACGGTGGCTCCTGACATCAGTTGCTGGTGCTTTTATCTATTGTGGTAGGGTGGTGTGGGTTTCCCTGGCAAAGGCAGACCAGCCAGAGAAGGTTATATTGTGTCTGGCTGATACCCCAGGGTGACCCTGGCTGCTCCTGGATTTACACATTCAAAAGCATGTATCAGCTGGACTGCTGATACATACATGCTGCCTGCTGTTACCGTCATTGGCGGTCCCTGGTTCACAGCAAACACAGGGCCGGAGTTAGAGGAACTATGTACCTTTCCCCACTACTTCCTGACTGCGTGCACAGGAACCAGGCATGAGCTTGTGGAATTTTTTTTCTGAGTGGAATTCTTATTCTACATTCTACTTTACCAAGGTAAGTATAATACTACAAGTGACTCCCATATTTAACTCAGATAAAACGGCTGTTAGTTGAACCACATCTTGATGTCTGAAGTGTCACCTGAAGTGATAAGTGAACCTTCTAAACTTTAGAACCTAATGACTTTCTTGTGATGTATTCATTGAATTCCTAATTGTCAGTAAAGAATCTAGACAAAGAAAGCACAGAGAAGAAAATCTTAAAAAATGCCATTTTAATCTCCTCACTGAAAAGGCTTCTCTCAACCAGATTGTAACAAAATCCACAGCTTATTCCAAAAGAAAAATTTAATACAAGAGATTTTAGAAAATTAAACGTATTTGTTTAAAAATTCTATTGTGTAAACCTTAACATAAGAGGGGAGTTGGGATACCACATGCTCAGGCTTCTGGGCTCCAGGCACTGGGCTGCAGCAGCCAGAGGACTTCTCTGGGGTGGATGGGGATAGCAAATCAGATCCTCACTCCCCTGGAGGTCCCAGCTCTCAGGTTTTCTTCCGGTGCTCAGCAACCCTATGAGCTCCTATGTAACCCCCTGTCATGTATCCTGAGTCCCAATTCTTCCTGGGGCTTCCCAATCCATCCTACTGATAACAAAAACCTCCACGTGGTCAAGTGGTCTCCCCTGACAGGGAGTGGAGTTGAGCGGGTTGCGGATGTCGGCTGAAACACGCGGTGAGCAGTGTCTAGAAGACGGAAGATGGTCCCAGTGAGAAGTGAACCCGAGCCTTGACCCAGCGTCCACAGCAATCCACCCCTGTGCGCTCCACTTTCCCTGCCCACTGTCTACACTTTACTTCAGAACCATAATGGAGACCACGTCAGAGCAACAGAGAGCCGAACATTTGGCACAGAAACATTAGATAAAATATACAGTGCTACAGTTGTGCAAAGTTAGCGCAGAACCAACCTAAGCAGCAAACATTTAACACTAGCTTTAATGAAATAATGCACAATATTTTGAAGAATGTTCATTACAATAGACCTTGTTCATGAGGAGGCACCTGCCTTCTGGTCACAGCGCCCCTGACCAGGAGGCAGCTCTGTGGTGGGTGGCATTGTCCCTAGTGGGAGTGTTGAACATCAGGACTTATTGCCATGGGCACGTGACTGCTCCTTCTTGCATGCCTCCCAGCCAGTATAGCTGCGCAGGGACAAGGCATCATGGCTGGACTGCTACTGGGACATCCTGGCGCCTGAAGATCTAAGCTTCTCAGTCCTCAGCAGGGCATAGTTGGGTGGGTGTATGCAAGTGCAGGGTGCCAAAGAGATGGAGTCTGGTGGTAGACCTGTGAGACCAGGGCCCAGCCTGTGTCTCACACAGATGGAGCTGGTGTAGATGGCACAGGCGCCGAGGCCTGAACACTGTGACTTGGGCCTCAGGACACACAAACTGTTCCAAGAATGAAGTTTTAGCAGCCACAAGGATGCCAAGGCCACAGCCAGGTTCAGGGTTGGGAAACGGTCTCCTGAAGAGATGGCATTGTGTCAGACCCACTGGGTAGCCATGATCCTGCATTCCTCTCTAGACTTTGGGCCTCAGAAATGCCCTTTAGGAGCATTGTGGGAACAGTCTTCCATCACCTGACCCCCTGGTCTGCACTGCTCTGCCCAAGTTCCAGGGGGTTCACATGCTCACACTGTGAGGTAATGAGATAGGCAACCTGGAGCCAAGAATGATTGCTAGGTTTCTGTGGGATCAGTCTGAGCAGGTCTGGAGTGTGGTTCAGTGGAGAGCTTTTGTCCAGCACTTGCAAGGCCCCAGTGTCAATCCCCAACAAGGGGAAAAAGGGGTGGGTAAGAGGTGGATATCAAGCAACCAAAGTCCCACATGGTCCCTAGAACCATTCTCATATTCACATTATTGCAGAGTTGGACAAATTTCCCATAATTAATCCTCGAAAGCCAAGGCATCTACTCTTTCTCTCTCTTTCTTTTCTTCCTTCCTTCTTTCCCGCCTTCCTTCCTTTCTTTTTCTCTTCCTTCCTTCCTTCCTCCCTTTCTTCCTTCCTTCCTCCCTTCCTTCCTCCCTTCATCCCTCCCTCCCTCTGCTTTAACTGCAGGTGCTGAATGTGAAAGATGGTTCTGTACACCATCTGTGTTTGTACTGAGAGAACAGACTCTTAGTGACATGTGTTTGGGCCAGTCTGCTGCTAGGACCTCTAGGCTGTGGGAGATGTGGGAGGTGGCAGGATCCTTTCTTTACAGATCATGACAGAATACAAAGTGTCCATCTGAGTCTCCAAGCTCAGGAGGTGGGCTTGGGGCTACCAGAGTCTCACAGAGTCTTTTTTGCTGGGTCCATGTGCCCGCCCTACATTCTGGGTGTGGTGTTTGTGTGGAGTCTGTGGTCCCTTAGGCAGACAAGAGAAGAACCACGTTGACTTTCTATGGCTGAGAATCTCTTGGGTCCTCCCTTCCCAGCAAGCTGAAGATGGTTTCCCTACTTCCTCCAACTCCTGCTCCCAGTCATGAGGGAGGAAAGATGTGTTCTGCCTCATTTGGGCACAGCCCACCTGGCCCAAGGTGCCCTCCAGAATTGGAGCTGTTTAGGTCTCTCTGTCTCCCTGTACTCTGAAGTTCCCTCTTGTCTCTAGGGGACTTTTGCTAAGCTTTCCTTGGGCTAGAAAAGCCCTAACTTCCTCAGACCACTTGCCAAGGTATAGCTTTGAGCTGAAGCCCTTCTAGGACCACATTCAGGCTGCTTTCTGCGGTCGCCTCCCTAGGCAGATCCACTGGGAGCTCCTTGGCAGGCAGGGGCGCGCATACTGCTTGGTACATGGTTCCTTTTGTAAGCTTTTCCAAGCTGTCCCAAGACACCAAGGAGGTTTTGTTAGGGAGAGAGATCATTGACAGTGGGTCCTGAGAAGCAGACAGACCCAGGCTTGGTGGCAGAGGAAGGCAGAGTTGCCAAGCAGCCGGTTCTTATTCCACTCCATGCCTGAGAGCCTTGGCCTCTAGGATGGTGCCCTGAGATGAGAGCAATAGAAGACATCATCTTGGGAGAGACAGTATTCTGCTCCCAGTGAGACACATTAGGGGACAGAGTGTGCTAAACAACCTCAGGGGACAATCATTCTCCGCTCCATTCTGGCAGTGAGTCTGAGACACTATAGTGTTGGCTTGCCACAGTAATGCCCAGAGCCAAATCTCCGGTGACCTGAGGTCACAACCACCAATCTAGGGCCAGGGATGTTCTCCTCAGGGTCTTCAGGCTGCCCATGGCTGGACTGGATGGTGAAACCCCTCGGGTCCATTCTAGCTGCCCTTGCTGGAGCAGCCTTAGGTGTCTTGCACGGATGGTGCTTCCTGGAGCCAGCACAAGGAGAGAAGGATAAGATCTTCAAAGACCAAAGTCACTGCCAATGCCTTTGTTGGGCAACTAGAGATTCCTGGAGAAATCCCATCTATACCAGCCATGTGGCAGTGTGGTGGGGGACAGAGGAACAGGAGGAGAAGTCCCATCCGCAGGCTGCAGCAGTCAGTTGCATCAGGAGGAATCCAAGAGCGTAACAGTCATTCTAGCTCCCAGGCGGGAACACGTCATAGGTGGCATCTGAAGGATCCTTCTGCCCATGTACCGTGCATCTCAACCAGGGGTCCTGGCACCCACCAACCTGCTGGCAGAACTGGAGGAGGTGACAACCAGCCTTGGCACCCTTGGGGGTATAGTGACAGTGTCCCCATTTTCTCGGTCCAGTAAGCAATAACTTGCTCTAAGGACAGGGAGCCAGCAGCTAAAACTGACCAGTTTAATTGGGTGGCAGCAAGAAGAGCATGTTCTCTGTGGGAACATGGTCATCCTGCCAAGGTGTCCAGGGCCAGCCGCCATGGCTAGGTTGAGCACAAAGTGACTGGGGTGTGGATTCCACTGAGGTCAGAGGTCACCACTCTGAGGCTCCACATTGCGCATCTCCCTTGGGTGGCCTCGGGACAGCTTAGGGAAGCGGGAAGCTACTTTGGGCCTGCTGTTCTTGTTCAGTGGTTCTCCAGGCGGAGCGATATCCCTGCAAGACAGGAGGAGACTCAGTTGAAGGAAGAGTTGGAATACAAATGACACAGGCAGGGACAGGAGTGGCATGTGAGGCCAGCAGAGGTCACACAGAGACAGGACAGTGTCTGTTTGGCCAGCTCCAACTGGTCAGTGTAACTTGAAGAAATAAAATATTCGTGTTGCTGTGTAAGTTGCCCCCAACAGACTGTCTGAGCTAGCGTTAGGGCACCATGCCGAACCAGCCCGGCACTCTGCCATGCTTCCTTTCATCTCCCAATGAAGCCTCATCCAGAGCCAAAGAGAAAATGCTGCCCAAATCCTAGCACCCAGGGTTGTAACAGGTGTGCAGCCAGATGTGCAACAGGGACCTCTGCTGGTGTTCATCCAAGAGGAGAGTCAAGGCATATGCCAGTGTTTGGTGACCAAGGCATGGCTCACAGCCCTGTGGGGACGCTGCGGTGTGGCACGAATGAGCCCAGAGCCCAGGCCGCAGGTGAGCACAGGTGTGGTACTCAGCAGATCCTGAGCCCTTAGACTCTCGGCCGCAGCTCAGGACGCCCCTGAGTCCCCCTTAAAAAGAAGAACATATGTGGGGCACAATCTCAAAGCCTTTGGTGTGCTTTCCTTTCCAGTCCTATAGGGTCTCACCCTAGTCATCAACCCTCTGCATCCCAGGACAGCCCATAGCCTGCCTCACTGACCTGGACAAATGGTGGCTACTACTTAAAGCAAAGTGGGGGAGGATGACCTATTATGTACAGAAAAGCATGGGGAAAGCCCCTTGCAGACTCAAGCCTGCTCTGAGTAGATCGTGGGCTCTGACCTCTTCAGCTGCACCTCCACAAGCAGAGCAAGAGCCTTTTCTGTAGATGAGGAGGAGGCAGAGGCCACTGACAATGTGCACAAGGTAGGGTATGTCGAGATGAGGGGGGCAGGTCAAAACGAAGGTGGTGTCAGCTCCAACTCTTCCTGGCAGAGCGGTGACAAAGATAGCGAGAAAGTCCTGACCAATAGTGAGAGAGGGTTTTATGGGGACAGTAGCCAGTGTACCAAAATAGACGTGGGAAGAATGGAAGGGGACCCCACTTCAGGAAGAGTCTAAAGCTCCTACAGGCGTCGTGATGCCTGCTGTCATCCTAGCAGCCTTACTGTGCAGTCCATTTGGGGGTGGAAAACAGAAGCTAATCAAGGCAGAGTCTGGGAAACATGGCTACCTGTTCTAACCCCAGCCTTAGATGGATGACTCTCAGTGATGCCACTTCCTATAGTAACAATGCTCATGCTGAGCCCAGTCCCCCAGTTCCAATAGGCTTCAATGCTACCTCAACCTGTAGCTCAGAAAGTCTAGGAGCAAATCTATTCATTGAACATCACCCCTGAGTTGACTACAACCTGGATTCTGGACACATGCCCTGGGCCCATCCACTCCACATGGCAGGCCAAGGTCACTTAAAATGCCACCTGATCTTGTGTGTCCTGCATTCGTGTAGCCTTCTTACTTTCCACTGGCACGTCCTGTGCTTCCTCAAGTGGCACCCCAAGGTTGACTTCTTATGACAGTACTGGCTGGGTCTGCAACCTCAGTCTGCACAACCTCTTAGCCTCCTTCACACCACACATGCCACCAAGCCTGGAAGATTTCTTGTTTAGTAGGCGAGCATACAGCAGATACAGCTCTCCTGAGGGATGACTGTTCCCAGTCACCTCCTATTGGTTGTATGCACATGGTGTTGGCTATGGTGAGCAGCTGTTAACACAGACTGAGTGACCCGCAGAGCAACAATCACATCAACCAGGCCCTGCCTCCATATTCCTCTCTAGAGAGGCTGGCAGGCCTCATGTATACTGCCTGCATGGGTGGTGCCTGGCAGCAGGTCTCCACCTGCCAGCTTGGAAAAGGGCATGAGAGGGAGACCCTAAAGTCCACATGTTATTCTACTGCCAGTGAGGGAAGAGGGTCTCACTTTAGAGGAAAGGTTCAGCTACGGCCCTAAGCTATCTCACTCAGACCTGGGAGCCCCAGAAAGGCAACACTCACAGGACAACAGCCTGCAATGCACAGGGGGCAGCGGAGTCAATACACGTGGGTCTGTCCTTGGCTCACAAGAGCAGCCATTCTTAGCCCAGAGTCACCAGACTCCAAATGCAGTGCAAACCAAGCTTCAAGGCTTGTTTAAAGCTTGCTGGAGAACCCAGGATGGAGAAGCCGCAGTCCCAGGGTTTTGGAAACACAAAGGCTAGTTGAGAACAATTTCACTCATTGCTGAGGCTAAGGAGGCTCTTTGGTAGGTCAGCACGCTGTCTGAACTTTGAGAAGTGACTTTGGACAGTCATACTAGGAGGGTATGGAGTGCTCTCCAGTGTTCTCCTAGCAGATGTGTCTACTGAGTCTTCATTCCAAGGAAAAGGGCTCAGCGAGGCTGGAAACCAAGAGCTCTGCAGCTTTCAGTAGGAAGCCAGTACCCAGAGGAGCAAACAGCAAAGCAGCAAGGCCACTGCACTCTCTGCCTGCACCACTCACCTCACAGTTAATTTCCACTTAAATGTAGTGAGGACTTCGGAGCCTCCTTCCTTGGCTTCCTCCCAGAACAAGGCTATTAGAACAAGACCACTCAGAAAGAAGGTGGCCCATAAAACCACCTCTGCACCTTTCTTAGAAGGCAAAGGAAATGTGGCTGAAGAGATGATGTCTGTCTTCCCTATCTCAGCTCTTCAGCCCAAAGGTACTTTTGAAATGTGTTATTTTATTTCATTATTTCCTAGAATAGGTAACACAGAAAGTACAGCAAATTTAAACAGAAAAGTACAGAGGTAAATGCCATGTGGGTCCCCTGCCCTGGTCTCCAGAGAACAGCCCTTCTGGTTCTGAGCAGTATCCATCTTGAACTACCTACTGCACAGTGTGTGTGTGTGTGTCTGTCTGTCTGTCTGTGTGTGTGTGTGTGTGTGTGTGTGTGTGTGTGACTTACATACTTTTTTGCTTGTTAATTATACAAATGGAAAATATACAGTGTGCTGCCTCCTGCTTCTTATGCCCATGGTACAATGTTGAGCTTCTCCATGCTGCTTCATAGAGATCAGCCCCGACATTCTGAAACAAGGCCCGGTGAAGGTCAGGCCCTTCATGTCTATAGGTCTGGGTGAGAGTGCTGAATGGGCACCGCTGCATCCCTAGCAGGAGATGCTGTGGACGGTGTGTGGGTGAGTAGCCCATAGTGATTAGCCTGTGGCAGTTTCTTGGGTTCTGCTTTCAACTTTTCTTTCCCTTGTGGTCCTGAGGATGAGCCCCAGGGCTTATACTCCTGTTAAGGAGTTCTTCTCCTTAACAGGAAGCTGAGTACAAATGAACAGATCTGCCCGCCACTGACATGGGGCCAGGCTCTGGTCTGCCATGAGCAGCATTGTTCTCTCTCCAGACATGCACATGTGTCAGGGACTATGAAGAGGAGGGACACAGGCTTCAGGGCCTGGTTCTGAGTTCAAAGTCCACTCTAGTGAGGTACAGAGACCCAAGGACTGGAACATGCAAATACCCAAAGCTAACACGAGCACGTGGAGGAAGTGCTGTGACTAGCCTAGAGCCTCATGCAAGACTTCCCACCTGCCGCCCTCTCAAAACCAGCCCACTTTCCCTTGCTATACACACGCCCATACTTGTCCCTTCTGAGTGGCCTGGGTTGTCTTCTTGGACAGCACAGTTAGACACTTTTGTTCCCAGATGACTCAGCAAATTTGGAGAATAGGCCTGTCCTCCATGGCTTCCTAGACGATGAAGCCGTAGAAAGTGCTAGGGAAGCACTGCTGCCTAATAAACTCTGGTGGTGTCCTTCCACCCTAGCAGGACCCTCTGCTGTGCTCTGCGTTTTGACCTTAGCCACAACAGATTCCTTATGAGCTGGGACCAAATGGGGCCTCTAAATTGTTTTTTTCCATGACGGGGTTCAGACAGAGTGACTGTAAATAGCCTAAGGGGAAACTGCCTATGGGGAGATCCATCAAAAGTACCAGAGGTCCAGAAGAGAGACACCAGCTACAACTGCCTCTCCAGACCCCAGTGCTGTCCCAGAGAGCAGTCTTGATATGACTCCCAGGAGCAGGGAAGGCTGCACTCAAGAGCAGGGGACTAAGCAATGGTCATTGTGACACAGGCCACCGTGGACTTCCAACACGATTGTGTTCTCTCATGATTGCAGTAAGTGTCTCCAGACATCATCAAAGCTGCGCAAGGCAGGAGGCCCACTTCCTTCCTGGAGTCGGTGAGGACAATTCTGTGGGAACACACTGAGCCCTGCCCTCATCTTGTGAAATCACTGGATGTTACCCTTCCCTAAACCACATGGGGAAGACCGGAGGCCCCAGAGCTCACAACAGGTTCTGACAAACTTTAGGCTTGTCCAAGACAAGGTCTCTCTGTGTAGTCCTGGCTATCAGGAACTCACTATGTAGATCAGACTGGCTCCAAACACACAGATCCACCTGCTGAGTCCATGGTCATCAGGCCCAGCACCAGCTGCTCTTTAAAGGCAGCTCTGCCTTCGTTCTGCACAGGTCTGTGCTGACCAACACACAGGCAGTGTGTGCACACCAGGGACACCTAGCCCACCCTACCCTCTTCTAGGTCAAGGGTTTAGAGATTAGCGTCACCTGTCTGATTTCACAACCTATTTACAACTCTGAGAAGGTGTCTCAAAGTCTTCAGCTACTGTCCTCAGCCTCCAGTCACTTTGGATTCCAGCAGAACCACATCCTACAGTAGGATCCCATAAGCAGGAGAAATCATTTCATGGGAATTAGGCTTCCTTAGGGCCACCTTTGTAGAACCAGAATCAAGTAGTGATCAACACACCACACCTTGCCTAGGACTGCTTAACAATGCAGCATTTCTCCTGTGCCCAACCTTAAACTAGACTTCACATCAGTATCCCAGCAACCGTCAATGCTTACAAATGGCAATTTTGATTAAAATTGCTTCCTGCCTTTTAATCATTACTTTCTTTTCTTCCTTTGAAATGA